GCTGCTTTCCCTGCCTTTCCAAAACCTATGGAACTCGAGGGACTTGTCAAGAGCTGAGGAGCCTTCCAGCCAACGCCGCCCGGCTCCAAATCCGAGGGAAACGTTGGTGCTCGTTAGGGGATGAGCAGAAATCAAGGCAAAGCGCTCGAGAAGCCTCCCTCCTACACGGATATTATGCTTTTATATGAGCTTTCACATTATGCTGTAATTACACAGTTACATGACACAATTAGGCCTTGTGTAGGAAGGCCGGAGCGTTATTTATGATTAAAATAAAAGGCATTCAATGGCATTTAAAATAGTGGGGTGATTTGAAGAAACTATCCCCATCTCATGAGAGAAGTTTGTCAGAGCACAACTATATGGTTATCTATATGACCAGGGGTATATTCTTAACTATAGGAGTTCAGATAACACTGTGTAATAGCTGGGCTGGGGGGCAATGCAGATGGGAAGCACAAACAGGGAGGCAGGACCAGTTTCTCCTGCCAGATCCTGGTAGAAACTTGGAGAAATGACTGATTTGAATAGTGAAAACAGGATTAACGGCTTTAATCTGGGTATTAACATCTTTTTTTTCCACCAAGAGAGAGATGTTAAACCTTTAATAGGTATAAATATGGGCACCAATACATAAATACCTGAACTCAGTGGGAGTTTTGGGTTTATTTAAACCAAATCCATGGGGAAAATCTCCAAAAAGGGACTGGAAGTTAGATGTTTTATCCGAGGTTTTGTTCCCCGCGTTCTGATTTTGCTCAAGGGTTGATACATACAGTCCTAGCTGGAATAGCCCTGCTGAAAGGCACCACTCAGCAAGCAGCAAAAATGCAGCTTTAAAACCAGAATAGTTGCCACTTTTGTCACCAATTTTCAGCTCTACAATAAAAGAGTCAGAAAGGGGATAAAAACAATCACGTCGAAGCCTTAAATCTTCAGCAATTACCTGAAAAACTCAGGTTTCTTTCAACAACTAAAAAGCTTCTGGTCTTCGCTGCTGTTGAAAAATGCTCCTGCAGAAGAGGCTCTAACTAAAAATGTGGTTTATTTGTAACCCCCCCAAATTCTTAAGCTGCTTTTATGATTGCATTTAATGTTATTTTTTGCATGGTATTTTAGAAACGCCAGCGCTGGAAAATCAAACTTGTAAAATGGCACCAAGAAGCATCCTCCTAAACATCAATTGCAATTTCATGACTAACAAAAAATGAAGTGTGTGGGGGGTGCATATATAAAAAAGACAGTATGGGATAAATAGAGGCTGTATCACGAAGCACAAGGCAGTGGAACCTCTGACATTTTCTGTCACCAGAGACCATCAGCACTTCATTAACACTGCCTTTTTTTCCACGGTTTGTGAGTAAATGCATTACCTAGCCCCAGAAAGGCCAAGGGGAAAAGATGAAATTGTATTTTCCAGCACACAAGGACACACACAAGGCTCAGCCCTTGACTTGCCTGCCATGGATTATTCAGGATATGGGGCAAAAGCAGTATATCATATAGGCATATATATCATATAGATGTCCAAAACCCCCGGGGAGGAAGGAAAATGCATTTGCAGATGAAAAGAGCCCAGCTCCTGTATAGTACCCAGTGAGGAGCAGCAAAAGAAGAGCAAATTTACAAATTTACTATTATTTACCTTCAAATTTACTATTACTTACCCTTGAATTTACTACTCTTTACCATTACACTTACTATTATTTACCCTTAAATTGACCAATACAGGGAAAGCTGCATCAGGGGTCACAGAGAGCTCTGAACCTGTTTGATTTTCACTCTAAAAAATCACAGGCAAAGGGGGCAAAGTTTGGGATGTAACTGGGTAAGCTCCTAATTAGCAGCCTTCAAAAAACCAGGGGCAATTAGAAGCATCTATTCTTTTTGGCCTCCCTGGGATCTACTAGTAATTGTGGGTAATTAATCTTAAAAATATCTTAAAAATATCTTACTTCTTCTAGAGAGCTCCCGGTAGCAGAGCAGGCAATGAAGGACAAAGCTCCATTTTAGGGGGAAGAAAGGGCTGTAATTTTTTCATGTTATAAAAGAAAGGAGCAGCACGAGCCCTGCTTTGTAATTTAACACTTATTCCTGTTAAAAGGCTTCTACTTAATTTCCTCAGGAGAAATCTGATGTTACCTTCCAAGTGGACAGGTCTAAAAAAGCAGAAATGAAGGGGAGAAAAAAAAAAAAACTTAAGGTAATGAAAATGGTAAATGAAAATCATGAGTTTACATACTAAAAAAAAATAATGTTTTTCTGTTTACGACTTCAGGATGAAAATGTGAAACTTGGGCCATTTTCAGTCATTTTAAAGCCTGGCTTTTAGAAATGGCCTATCTGGAGGAAATAAAGCTGGGTATTTGGAGCAAATAAAGAGATGTATAGAAAATACATACTTGAAAATACACAGCAAGTGATTGAGCGAATGTTTACTAACACAACCCCTCCCCCTTGCTGCTATAAATGCCAGCAATGAGAACAAAACCATGAGAAAAATGGTTATTAAAACGAGCCCTTCTTGGCACACAAGATCTATGAGTGCCACAGTACACTGTATTTTAACAGCAGTCTTGTTAACAGGGTGACTTACTGTATATAGAAAAGTATAAGAGTTTTAATTCCCTATCCCACTATCCAGTGCTGGTGAAATAGGGGTTATTTTCCCGGGGCACACAGATTCCTTTTGAATTTTTAATCTCTTCTAATGATACACATAATGCATCTTTCTGCTTTTTCAGGCCATTAAACCTCCAGGAAGGGCATTTTTCCAATACATCTCTCTTCAGTAACTAATTAAACCTATTTTTTTTAAAACATTTCTGGGGCATAGTGTGAAAGACGACGTACGAGAGCGGCAAACGGCAGCAGGTCGGTGCCAAAATTAACAGTGGGGCTTTTTATGGTCTCTTTTAAGATTAACTTTACACGAGTAAAGGCTTAAGCCGCACAAATACTCTTGCTGTATCTTCAATGCTGAAAAGAGGTGGAAAAAATAACCTGGATTTTTCTGCAGGAGGGAAATTTTTACAAACCTGAGGGCCAGAAGGTTTCGCTGGCAAAGAAGAGCCAACTAAGTGCTGATTTCCCTGGAATAATTTGGGCCCTGCCAGAATATATTTGGCCTGCAATGAGGAAAAGCTCCCTGGGTTCAGATAGTGAAGCCTGAGCAAATTTCATCCCAGTTTGCAGGCTAATTTCATCCCAATTTGCAGGCGGGGGAATGCTCCAAATGAGCAGGGGCTCAAAATTTGGCCATTTCCCAGGAGGAGAACCTACCACCTGGAATCTCATAGGTGGGATCTTGTGCCACGAGGAATTCTTTGGAAGAGGCAGTCGCAAGCTGGAAGTGGGACTGGGAAATAGAAGAATCCGACAACTGAGGTGAACTTACTTGAATATTTTCCTAAGTTTTTTTGGCGTGGAGAAGCTCGGCCTCCCAAATTTAAAAATGTGTGGCTCTTGGCAAGAGGCTGTGCCAATTTTCAGGGAGTTGTAGTTGGAATTATTAAGTTAATAGAAGCAGTTTCCACATACATGGTGGACATGGTTGTTTTTATATACCCACGTCCTTAAAGCAGCCCTTGCACCATCATTCCCTGCCATTTAGAAGGCAATAGGAAAGGAACCGTCTGGAAGAGGGAGGCCTTGGTGTGGAAAAGGGGAATATTTCATGGTAAAAATGCATTAATACTAATTATTAATAGCACCATTAATTTCCCAGCTTAAAGGGGGAATCATCCCATTTTGTATAACTTGCCTGCACTGCAATATGTAGTGCAGGACCCCCCTAACCCCCTAAGAACTGAGTTTGTGCAGCTAGAAATCCTACTTGAATTCAACAAGCTGTCCTTGGTGCTAAATACCCTCTCCGAGGTCATCCTGCTATAATTTAGGGACTTCTTCAGCTACCCAAAAGTGAGGGTTTTTTGCTTAAAACATTAACAAAAGACCTGGGAGAGACCCCAAGGACTTCACATTCCCTGCTTGGTGCTTAACCAAACCCTAAGATGCCTAAGTAACACTAAGCAACATTTGCTTTGTATTAATAAATCAAATTTGGACCAGAACATCTCTGGAAGAGGCAAAGAGGTTTGGTTGGACCTGTCAGAGTTGATTTCCAACCATCTCCTAAGGTGAAAAGCCAGGATATTAACATGTTCTGCACAATAAGATGGTATTATAAGTGACACAAACGTTACAAAACAGTCTGAGCGCTGCTTGTTCACAGCATTACCCAATTCCCAACGTTATAAAGCTGCATTTCTACCATGCACATTTTAACAGTGAATAGATTTGGAGAGTTTTACACCCACCACCTCCTGAGATGCGAAGCAGCAAGTTGCTATTAGGTGCCAAGCTGTCATTTCCATCCACATTGCAGCCCACGGCTATTCTCTAGGTCTCCTTTACTTGGATAGCACCAAGCAGAATTAAGTATTAACCCTGGATACTCCTTTACTGCTTCTTTTATGCATGTTCTGCAACTGGACTGCCACCCAAGGGAAGAATTATTTTAAATAGGAGCCAAATGCCGGAGCACACTTCCCAGTAGGAATTTTCCAGAGATTGGAGAAAGAAAAATTAGAGGAAAAATAAATTTCTGTGGCAGTTCTGCTGCATGGAATACAAGGGAATAAACGTGTACCCCTCTAGAACAGCAATTGGGAGCAATTTTGGGGGTATTTTGGTGACCCAACTGCTGCAACACACAGTGCAGAGCTGATGGACCCACACAGATACACATGCAAGCTAAAAACATACATGCAGTTATCACAGGCAGCTCAGTGCCTGTTGGATGCAGTGACATCACCGTATTCCCAGGAAAAAAAGCTCCTTTCCAGGCTCGAAAGGCAACACGTTCTGCTCCAGTACACCAAACAACTCCGAGCACAGAGACCCTATTCCTTTAGCATCAATTAAACATTTGGGAAGCTTCTCCCGTAGCCAGACGACCACAACAGGGCTTCGAAGGGAAAAGAAACGTGGGCACTCACCTGGATGTTGCCAAAATCCACGTTCTCGTAGTGGAAGTGGGCGCACTCAGCCATCTTCGGGAAGTGGCCCTTGGTGAAGGACAACCTGGAGCGGGTGCAAAGCGCTCGGTTAGGACGCGGGGTCGCTCGGCTGCCGCTCGTCACCAAGTGCTGCCACAAAAGCAGCTCAAAAACCATTAGCTACTAAAAACAGAAGCTGAGGGAGCAGGGGGGGCTGCTGGCACAAGGCACCCAACCAGCGGAGGCAGGAAATCGGTGAGGAAGGACAACTACGTGGCAAAGGTGGCTTGGAGCTTTGCATCCTTCGGGCACGTGGCACCTTGTTATGAGGTTTAAGGAGCGGTGCAGGGAGAAGCCGCTGCGCCCTGACCCGCGCCGTGGTCGCGGTGCGGAGGAATGACCTGACCCGAGACACGGAGCGAAGGAGAACGTTACCTGTGAAAGGCATCACAGCCCATCAGTCCCGGGGGGAGGTATCTGAGGGTGCAGAACAAAGGCTATTTATCCTTTGGCTTTTTGTGAGAGTCAGAAGGGAGGCATAATGATTCCCAAGGGTCTCCGGTGGCGGCTACCGGGGAGATGCTCTGGCTCTGCAACGTGCTCTCGCCTCTGCTGAAGCTATTAGAGCCTCCTATAGATCTTGCTGGGGGAGAGCCAATGAGAGGATCGTTATCTAGCTGCCTCTTCCCACGGGAATGGGAGTGGGAAGGGAGACGCAGCGGCATCGGGCTGCTCAGCACTAGAACAAAGATCCCTCAGAGCGTTGGAGCACCGAGGAGAGGGGATGGGGACGCCCAGAGCAGGGCTGGGCGCTTACAGGCCTTAAGTCGGCCTTATCAGCAAAGACAGGGCGAGGGATCTGGGTTAGTTTTGAGCCCCTTGACTCAGTGCAGCTCAAACGCAGGAGGGGCAAAGGGAAAGGCAAGAAACCTGCTCTTACTTCTTCACATTCTTCACTTTCATGCTGGCTGTGCTGCCGCACGTGCGGAGCGGCAGCTCCCCCGGGATGTCAGGGATATCCGCCCCTCTGGCCTGCAAGGAAAAGCAAAGGGAGAAGGAGGAAAGTCAGAGCCAGTTCCCCAACGTGGATCGCCCTAAATAAACCCATCTGAGCCAGTCCCCCAACATGGATCGCCCTAAATAAACCCATCTCTGGTCGACTGACTGGTATGAAGCACCCGGTGACTTGGTGAGAGTTTCCTTGGGAATTAAGAGCATCTCCAATTTATAGGTCTGCAGGAGAAAATAATTGATTGCAGTAATAAATGGGCCATATCTGTAATGGCTTTGAGGCAGAGCTGGATGCGCGGGCTTTAATTTGCCAAGGAACAGAATTTCTGTAGGAAGGCAAATATATATTTTTTTCTCATTTTCACAAGCAGGTGGGATATAAAAATGGGTGAACAGGAGTGACAGGAGAAGATGGGGCTTCTGGCCAACCTGCAGCAGTGGGAAGAGCCTTCCCTGGTCTGACTCAAAGCAGCGTAGGCAAAACCCAGAGCTCTGGGAGGTCTAAATGTCAGCATCTCGCTGTGAAAAAGTCATATTATTCTCTCCTTCACAACAGAATTAGGTCTAAATTTGGCTGGAAAGGGAATTTCTGCCAGCAGGGATCCTTTAGCAGGAGCACACGGGTTAATCTGGGTTGCTCTTCTCATTCCATTCCTCCTCCTCGTGAGGAATGGAGATACATATAAAATATATAGCTAAAACTTAAAGCTGTGCACAGGTATCCACAGCTGGAGCCCTGGGGAGGATGATTATCCCCCAGGATCTGTCTCCAGACAGATATTTGAACAGAAAGATATCTGAACAAAAAGATATTTGATGGAATTAGATGGATTTCGGAACCCAGAGCGCTGGGTTCCGAAGCTGGCCCTGAGAATCTCCCAGGAAAACAGCTCTCCTTCCCAATTTATCTTCCCAAGATGGGAAATCCGTGCTGTTCACAGGCTTGGCAGCAGAGCGCAGCACTGGCACATTCCAAATCCACTCGGAAAGAGGCAAAACTGCCAGGGAAAGACGCTCTCCTCTCAGACACAGAGGCCTCTCTAACCACCTACGTTTGCTCCTTATCCAGTGCAAACTGCCTGGGGGATGGGGCTGGAAAAAAAGGAAAATCCGGGTTATTTCTGGCTCATTTTCTCAGGATATAGGGTAAAAAAGCCCATGTGGGGAAGTGGAGTGGCCCAGCTAGACAAACCTTTTAAAATCTTATTGTAGAAGTGCAATAGGATGGAGGGAAGGCAGCGAAAGCCCAGCAAGGAGTGAAACTCTGAGCACTATGAGCATTCCTAGCACTTGCATTTCCTGTCCCTGTAGCTGGGCAGGATTACGTGAAAATGAGGGAATTTTTCCTCCAAAAAAGGACACTTTTCCCTGAAAACTTCCCTGTTTTTACAGGGGAATAGGAATAGGCTGGCCTCCTATGTCCTCCCCCTCTTTGAGCAGCTACAAGGCCTCGAAGCAACCCCGATTAGAAAGAAAAAGGGAAGCTGAACTTCGTGGGCAGCTTATTTCTTCTAAATGAGATTAGCTCAGTGATCCACATCCCAGCAGCTCATCCCACCAAGGGCGACTCCAGAGCCGGCCTGGGAGAGCGCGGGGCGCCTCTTAAGGCCCTATATGCAATATAGGGACTATAGGGGCGCAGAGCTGCTCCCCTCCTGTTGTCCTATATGAGCTGATCCACTTGCTAACGTGATTTGGAAGAGCAGGAATTTCCATTTTGCACCAAAGCAAAGCAGGTTTCATGTGATATATGTGATATATGACCCAAACAGCTCCCTTAGGCCATACACTGGGCATAGGGATGCACCCTGGATTCCCTCTGGAATGAATCAGGATGGAAAAGCAGGAATTCCCTATCCCAAATCCCCCTGGCATTTGAGTGACCAAATATCAAATGCCCATTCCCTGAGCAAATGCCCAAATTATTGGCCAAGCAAAAGGAATAACTGAATCTCAGTGTCTTATCCCTCGAAATCCAGAGGTTTTTGTATTAACTGATAGACCCTGATGTTTTCAGCATGAAAACAAATAAAATCAAATACAAACAACAGAAAAATATCTGTACTTTTACTCTTTCTACCTCTTCTTGAAGAAGCCACCATCAAGACTGCAGCGCTGCTGTACAGCAATAATAAACTGGCACCAAAGGAGAGTAAAAACCTTCTTTAAACCTATACAATTCACTAATATCCATAGGCTTTTATAAATTGAATTTAAAAATAGCTTTCTCCTCGCTCCCGCCCCAGATTTAACCAAGTGATATATTGAGGTCTCATTAAAAGCCTTCGTTACCTCCACGAACTGCAGTGTTATCTTAGCAAGTACCAAAAGCTGAAGATACTACAGTTGTCAGTGAGAAAAGCACTGTCATCACAGGGATTTCTTTTTCCAAAAGTATTTAAAATATCTTTTTATATAAAAATATAAAAAATATTTTTAAAATTCGATTTAAAAATATTTAAAATTTCTATTTCGAGCTCTGACTTCAGTATTTTCACCTTGTCTCCTGTGCAGGGCTGCCTGTTGGTTGAAATCAGCCTCCAAATGGTGACATCTTCCTGTGATAGCAGGACTTGAAAAGGGTGCAGGAACTTTTTATAAAGGAATAAAGATGTTTATAGCTCCTTGTTTAATGCTGCTCTCCACAAAAACTGGACAATTTGGGGTGAAATTGGGTGAAAAAGGCAATGGAGGAAGACAGGGAGGCAGGGACAGAGATGGGGAGTTTTGCCTAAAGAGTGGCAGAGCACAAATCAGATGAGCAAAAACAGAAGGGAACTGCAATATTGCAGAAAAAATACCAATTTATGCTAAAGTTAATGACAGGCTGAGCAATTCCATTTTCCAAATTGGAGCAGGGAAGGCAAAAATGGCACATTTGAAGGTTACCCAGCAGGCCAGTTTGTGCTGTGGGAATAGGAGCCTGAGACAGTGAGAAAAATAATATGACTAATAAGACTAATTTCTAAAATTACACAATGTAAGTAGGGGAAGATGTAACATATGACAGTCCTTGAGAAGTGGTTGTGCAGTTCTCCTTTTGTCTAATCCTATAAAGTCTGTCCATCTAGTGATGCACCTCAATGTAGTTCTCTACTGCACAGGATTTCATAAATACTGCAAAGTCTCCAAAAAGCACCAGAAATGCCCCAAACAAGCCAGATCTCCGATACAAATTCACTAGATTTTTGCTACATCATAAACACTAACAAGAAGTTTAAAAACGAAGTACAAATGCTGAGTGCAAAGATGACAACAAAAGTAGCAATAACCTAAGGTTTAGAGTCACTCAAGTGCCCAGAATTAATGTCAGAAACATGAAAAACAGTTTCTGCCCTAATATATATATATCTAATATAGTATAGGTGGCCATTAAGTCTCCAAACATGGAGAAAAATCTGCAATTCTGCAGTTCTGTTCAGTTGGAGGGCCTGAATAACACTCAGGCTACTGTTATTTTCTCTGTAGATTGGCCAACGTTGGGCTGAAACGTTCCTTTTTCCACAATGCTGGATGCTTCAAAGGGCACGTTCGGAAAAGTTCCCTTGGTGCTCAAAATTCTTGTTGGAAAAGAGCCTAATGCAGAGTAAAAATCCTTGGGTCATTATGTACCTTTTAATTTGTTAGCAGAGCTGCTTTGGGGCACGCTTTAATGGGGCAGGAGCGTATCCATGCTCATGCTCTCTCATATAAACTGCCAGAGGATGGGAAGCATCCCAATATTCCTAAAACTAGCACGGAAGCTGTGGAAGAAACAAAATCCAGCAGTGCAGGGGATTCTGGAGCTGCTCAGGAGTGAAAAAGCAGCATTTATAAAATGCAAGTGGGTGTTTTTACCATAGCGCTGAGGGTCTCCTCCCAGTCCGGCCTCTCTCGGGGGTGGATGCTCCTCTGCAGCTCGGGCACGAAGTCATCTTCTTCGGCGTGTGCCGAGGGCTTCATCATCCTGCCAAGAGCAAGAGCAGAAGGGTTTGAGACTCGGGGCTGGGGTAACCTGATCGCAGCCAGGTCCTGGGGCTCGGGTAACCGGCTCATGTGACAGAGGCTTCCGAATCCTGCAGAGTCCCAGGGGCTTCTCCTCCTTCCTCGTTAGCAAGCCGGCCAAAATCTGATCATCGGATGATCAGTCAGATACTTTTGTTTCGTTGCTGCATAATTTACACACAGAAACACGGGAAAAAAGGGGGGTTTTCTATACATTTCAGCCTGTATTGCCCAGGCAAACAACGTTAGCCTTATCAAGAGAAATAGGCACAAAACAGGCATTATTTCACCCTGAAACAACCTCAATTCCTGTCCCAAGAGGCACAAAGTGAAATTCAGGGAGAAATTCAGGATTTATTGGCACCCGCTGCTTTGCAAAGGCTGCAAAAATGGTACTTAAACACAAGGGAGAAACTTAAATCGCTGCATTCTTAAGGTCAAATTTTTAGGGTTTGGAAAAGGCTGTGGCGGCCTCTGCTTTGGGCTTCAAAGTGTCTGGTTTGGCTGTTTTGCAGTTAAAAATGATCCCATAAGAGCTGTGTGACATCGGAACGTGTTGGAATGAGAGGAAGAGGAGGGTTCGACCAAGATCCTCCTTCCCACCCGTCACTGTGGGAACTAAGAGCTATCACATGGATGCTGCCCATGAATTAGAAAACAGCAAGCCCAGATTTCCATCTTTAAGATCATTTTGGAGCACAAACAAAGCACAACCCTGCAAGGTTGCATTGCTCATCACAAAGCTGGTTCCTACGAGTAGTTTCCATCCAAAAATTTGCTATTTCCTTCTGACAAACCAATCTTTTTAGTGCTGAAACCCCTGCCAGGAACACGGGGCTGCCCAAGGACACAACCCAAACACAGCAGCTTCATTCTCCGTTACCGCAAATTCCATTAAACAGCAACTTGACCTTCAAAACCGACAGATTTTCAGAAATTTTAGAGATGGAAGAAACCAATTGAGATGCACAAACGTCGTTGATTAAACAGGAATTCTTACCTAGCAGCCCATTTATTTTTCTAAGCGTGGAAAAATAAGCATTCCTTATTTTGCCTTATTCCAAGCATTCCTCCTAGAATTATGGAAGTGACATGCACAGGAGTCACCCATGTTGTTTCCAAAACACTGACCTTCAGTCATATAGAAATAGCCAGAAAATAAAATAAAATTGAATTAAAATTAAAAATTAAAAAATAAATATTCAAAATACTAAAATAAAATATTAAAATAAAATATAAAATAAAATCAAGCTGATGGTGCCAGATGATTCACGGGTATAAGATCTCAATTGCAGCTATAAGGAACAGGTTCATCTCTTGGGCATTATTGGGCACTGCTAATGAGGCAGCCTTTGAGGTATGTATGTTATCTATATGTTATCTGTTACCTTAAGGGTGGCTGGTTGCTTTCTGCAGCAAATTATCCCGATTCCAGTGGAGTCCTGGAAAACAGACCCACATTTTCGGCATAGGGATTTTTCCCAGCCACAAAGATGGGCAAGGCGCGTCTGGAATATGTAGATATATACGTACATACGCACACATATAAATATATATATATATTCGATGTCACTTCAATGTATAGAACAAATAAAGAACAAACACACAGGCATCTACTTCCCACACGTGTGGAGATGGAATAAGGTCTAAATAGGCTGTTTTTCCCATGGATTCTTTTCCAGGGAAGGGAAAACGAGGCACATATAAAAGGCATATACATAAAAGGCACATATAAAAGGTGATGTCAACACCGAGTATTTGAAAGCAGAATTATTAAGAGGACTTTTCCTCCTATATAGGAAACAAGAACTGAGAGACCTGGCCCGAAGTGTATAAATAACTGGGCAAGAAGTTGGGATAAAGGGAAAAACCCTGAAGTTTCTTGATTTCTGACATCAAATTTATACCACAAGAATAGCTATGCATTGCTATTAACTGTGTATTGGGGAGAAAAACAAAGAAAAAGGTAAATTAAAAAAAAGGCCACAAATTCACGCTCAGTCCAAGCTGCAACTAAATTCTCCCCAATTCCCCCTTTCCCAAATAGACTCTGCAGCCCCAAACTAAAGGGAATACAGTGGAATAATCATGCAATAGGGAAAGCAGAGATAGCCGGAGAGCCCCAGGGAAAACAGCAGGAATTGGAGGCCTGACCTGAAAGGGGATTTAATTTCCCCTGTTTTAAATCAGCCCTGTCAACGCCTTATCGATCACGTCGCGTCCATCTGGGTTCTATAAAATCAGATTTTCAAGGGCTGGAAAAGGCAAGACCTGCCAGGTCAGCTTAAAACGCCCCTCGTAAATAAGCAAGGGGCAGATTAATCCCTGACCACAAAATGAAAAGGGTTTTATTGGGATTGATTGGGTGCCCTACTAAGTGGAGAGCTGTAATTGCTGCTCCGGACAGAGCTCCATACAGTTGGGAAGCCCAAATCCGATTGTTTAGGGAGCTGCTGGTAGGAAAAAGGAATAAAATTGCATTGTTTTAGAGTGAGAGGATAATGAAAAGTCCATATTATCATTAGGCTGGGGAGTGATTTAGGAGATGTGGCCTTTTCTGGGAATGTCCCCAGGGGAACTGGCGCATGTGGCCAAACAGGGAATGGGAAGAGAAGCCTTAGCAGAAGCCTCAGCATGACAAATACAGGTGAATTCGATTTTACAGGGCTTTTTCATTCAAAAACAAAATGTAGTTTCATTCAAAAATACAGGCGGTGCCTCAAAATTGTTTCTGCTTGAAAATTTTCAGCTTTTTCCTCTTGAAAATTCCAAACTGAGGCTGGAAAAGCCCACGTACCCCAGGAAAAGCGACGGCAACTCAGAGACCACCAATACTACCACAGAGGTGAGCGAATGACCCAGCTACTAATTCGCATGCGTCCTATTCAATTGCGTGTTTAAGAGACAGATTACGAGGTCACAAAGACAAATTTCAAGCAGCTTTTTAGTTTGGGGGGATTTTTCTTCCTATAAAATAATTTTTTGAAAATGATTTTTCGCATTTTTGCACCGCCAACTGTTAAATTCCATACTCAGCCATCTGTCAGAAGAGAAACCTCTTTTTTTTCCCTTTAAGTTAAGCTTTCCTGCAGGACTATATGACATTTAAAAAACAGGAATTTCAAAATGAAATATTGAATTTTTGAAGTAAAAATCAGCAGTATCTGCTGATTTCATCTGCAAAATTATACTGGGGACAAGTCTGATCTGCTGCTAAAATATCTGTCCAGTGCTGAGGAGTCAAGGCCGGAGATTCTTCCTTCTCCATATTGTTTCCTTGCCCCGTTCCGACTGTCTGCTTGTGCTTTTAATAACGGTCCCAATCCAGTTATCTGCTGAAATTACCTTTGCTCAAAGGTTTAATTGAAGGTTCAGGCTTCAAAATAAGGGGCTGTTTATTAACATGCATGTGGATTTAAGCAGCAGCCCCTGATCTGCCAAAGGAAAGTTCCCCAACTTGGAACTCTTTCCCATCTCACTGTTTTGTGGCTCAAATTGGACCTGTTTTCTCTTCCATGGACCTAAATCAGCAGAACTGGGATATGCACCTAAAAGCTCTGTCAAAGTGGGCTTTTATGGCATGGATTCACTTTGGGCATAATGGGAATTTCTTTGGGTATTTTAAATAAAGTCTTGCAATACTCAGCTTGGATATTAAAAGGGTTTGTAAAAATAATCCCAGTATTTTCATGCCTTTGCATGAAAACCAACCCTCTCTTTGCTTTCCTTACCAAACAAACCTGGGAATTTCGACCTCAGCAGCAGCAAGCTCCAAGGTTTCCACATAGATGGAGGATGGGAAGGGACGTTGCTCACCCCCCTAGGTGCTTTTTATCATTATTATTATTATTTCTGTGGATTTATACAGATTTTAATGGCTTTAAGGTTGGGTTTATGCCCGGGAGAAGCTGGAGAATAAACCCTTCAAACAGCCCTGCTAGTGAACACTCACTAGGACCTATGACTAAGAACAAGGCCATTGCAAATAATGCCGTGAAAAAAAAATAGCCAACAATTTTCACCTTTTTCCACCAAAAGCAACCCCTCCACTTGCCTCGTGAGTGAGTGGTTATAGGGAAGCTCTTAATCACAAAGGCTGAGCAAAGGTGAGTTGCATATTCACAGGCTACGCAAGGGAGAAGAGGCATTTGCAGGTGAACAACAAAGAGATTCCTTTTCCGAGCGCCGTAAGGGAGGGGAAAATAAGTGTTTAATTGCCTAAAGAGATGCCAGCTGGGGGATATATGGAAAAGCAAAAGGAAAAGCACAAGCAAGCAGGTTTTTTTTCCTGTTTCTTCTGCTATAAGACAAGATTTCCGCATTCTCAGCCTGCATCTGCCCAGGGAAGAGGAATAATTTTTCCGACGTTTAAGTTATCCCAGGTGGGATAATTCGGCGAGTGCCCGATGTGCTCGGCTGGTGGCAAATGCCCCACTCACCGAGAGGTGTTTGGAGCATCCGGAGGGGGATGGGGATGTGCCCACCGGCGGGCTGGAGAGCGGGAAGGTGGCTGGAGGATCCAGGAAGCCCCACGGGCTCCGAGTCAGGCAGTGACTCAGCAGGAGGGAAAAGGAGAGGGAAAAACGGCAGGCAGGGCCACCTTTTCCCAAAGGAGCGGCAATTATCCCCAAAAATCCAAGGAGAGCAGGGAGAGCTGCGGGCCTGGAGTTGGCCTGTTGCGTAAGGGCTGTGCGTGCCGTTGTTGTGCGTCTCCGGGTGTTCTTTCCCGCACACCTGAGCCTGCAGGAAGCGGAGCTGCCTTTAACCCCTGCCTCCCTGTGCCCCTGGAAGGCAGTGTCCTTGCAATCCCATGGGCAAAAGGCTTGGGAAACAATTTAATCCCAAGGGAGGCACCTGCCAGTGCAGGGAATGTGGGGAAATTCATATATCAGGCAAGGCAAATTCCCTTCCATTGCTTTTCATCCATTTGGATATTAAGAGGGGAGGGAAGGAATCAACAGG